AGGACTCAAAACCCCAAAGCAGGGATGTCCTCCCTGCCCACCCTGTGATGCTGCTCCTCTGGTGTCGACCCTGGAGATACTAGGGTGCTTCTTACTGAAGCCCAAGCCAGTGCACCAGGAGGAACCATCAGCCTTGGAGAATACATGATCTTTCAGAACATGGCTACTGGGTAGCCGAAAAGGGGAACCAAGCAGAGTTTCTGGATGAGGAAGAGCATAAATGCTTCTTATGTGGTATCCTTTAAACACATGAGATGAAGAGAAGCACAGGGCTGGGAAGGTGCACACTTGCTTTTTAAAGCAACGGGAGGCAGCAGTCATGTGGCAATGAGAAGCTTTTTCTGTCCAGACCTCCCACGACTTTCTGATAAAAGAGCTCAAGGGACATCCAAATGTTGCTGGCAGAGCTGCTCCAGCAGCTGGGAACGCGCTCTGCACAGAGAGCACCTTGCTGCTGGGGGGCTTGCACCAGCCAGGCACAGCTCCCTACAGACCACAAGCTTGGCCATCTGCAGGGACAAGCACATCCTTGCAACGCTTACGCACAGCACACAGGGGACGCAGCCCAGTGGAAGAGCATGCACGAGGTGCATGTGGCCGTCGTGCTCTCAGTCCCAGCCCTCTCTGGTGGGGTACTCACGATGGGAGGGATGGCAGCAGCACGCTGCTTCAGCTGCTTCAGGTCCAGCGGCTTTTGTGGCGAGGAGTTCAGCCTGGCATCACTGGCAGTGTTGAGCAGGCTGGGCCGGGGGGACAGCAACCTGGACACAAAACACACATGTCAGCTGGGCCAGTTCCACATCCCATTGGTCCCCCACATCCTGCACCCCTCTCTTTTATTCTGCCAAGCCTAGAGGATGTACTCTCCATCAAAGAAGAGTGCGCTGGACCACTTATCCCTGCTGGGAATCCAGGCTCTTGAACACATCATGCACTTGGGCTTCCAGCCTTGCAAGCTGCTGCTCTGGCCCCAAACCTGTTTAGATGGCAACTACCACTCCAAAGATCTCAGCATCCACCATGAGGATGCTTGTCTGACAGGAAGTTGCTCAGCAAGAAAATCTGCTGTGCTGCCTGAAGCCCTGGGGACCCGCAGCCGCTGGGGAGGTGTCTCAACCTCCAACTTGGTGGGCTGCAGGTGTTCCCCGATTGTTTTGCTCTATGAGGGCAGGCACAGAGGGGAACACAACCCAGCCCAGCAATGCCCAGCTAGCAACCGGGGCAGCTTTGCCATGGGATAACAAGGCTGAGGGGCGGCAGAGAGCAGGATGGGATTCAAATCCTGCTTTGCAGAGAAGACAACCCCCATGGGGCTCCGTGCTCAAACGAGACCATTACATCCAGCTCAACAGGCTCTCAAGCCCTCCTTCCCTCATCCCCTACGCTAACTATTTCTAGCAAATCTGTTGCTGTTGTCCAGAATAAACCCAAGGGAGAACTGGAGCCTGGAGCTGCGAGTTACAGAGCAGGGCCACCAGTTCAGATTTCATTTGGGCATCACACCACTCTCCAGAGCTCACATGTGGTGCTCGCCCAGCACTTGGGATCAGCCTCATGCTCCTCTTCAAGGACTGTCTTTTATCAAGGCGCTAAAGCCTGGGCAAGCAACCACGTGCACGCAGCTGGGACGCTCAGATCACTTGAAAGATGAGAGGCTGGATTTGGATGGAATTCGGCGTTCAGCCCAGCGGCTGTGCGGCCCTGTGCCCTCTCCCTTTTGCTCTTCCCCTAGGCTGTTTGAGTTGCCTGGTAGACACTCAGACGGCTGCACTGAGCCCCTGCGCAAACAGCAAGAGGTGGGAATCTCCATGGTGCCACCAAAATGCGATAGGGATGGAGGTGTGCAAAGTCCCTGGGTCCCTTCGTGTGTCCAGCTCGCAGCCTGTGCTGAGACCCAGGGGACCATGCCTCTCCAGGCCATCTCTGCTTTCTCTCCCTCCTGACTCCAATTTGTTGAAGCCAGTTCATAGTTTTCAAGCTTTACAGCTTGATTTGTTTATTTTAGCTGTTATTTCACTGCTCTCTTCAGCCTATAAATTTCAAGGTCATCCTATGCTCACCCTTGGATGAATAAACAAGCGTGGCGGGGCCATGTGTGGGGAATAAACTCACCACGGTGCTGGGACCGCCCCAGCTCTCGCTCTGTGCAGTGCCCAGCATCGGAGGGGAAGGGGACCCACCTCTGGATCGGGCCCGGGGTGCTCAGTAGAGGCACCCAGGGGAGACCAGGCAAGGGGCAACAAATCCAAGTTGCACCCTGAATCATCGCAACGATGTCTGCCCAGGGAGCCGGCTGGGTGTTGTGAAGTCAGGCTGCGGAGGAATGGGGCTCCCGGCAGGGTCAGTGCCCCAAAAGGCTGCTGAGGCAAGTGGCCAGGGACAAGGGCACCCAGCTCTTGCCTCCAAGGCCTTCACGCCATGCTGAGCTGCAGCACTGCTCTTCTGGGGCTGCCAAGCTGGGGAGACCCCGTATTCACAGTGTGCTCTGTAGCCCTGGCCCCACTCCCCCAGCATTTTGGGCTCCAATTTTGCCCCAAAGAAGCCAATCTTTTCTGTATTATTTTCAAAAGAAGTCAATTTTTTTATAGGCAAGCCTCGTCTAAGAGTCAGGGCAGCCAGCACTGCCT